TTGTCTTTCCACCACCAAATTACTGCCGGCTGGCCCTTCGATTATAGGTGAGGAGGTGCCCCTCTCTACCCAAGGCCAAACCCTCTCCCTGAGCTCTAGTCACCCGCTTTCTGCCTTCTCAGGACCCTGGGCTAGTAATCTTTTCCCACTCTCTCTCCTGTATCACCCTCCTTCTATTGTATTCTTTCTATCCTGTCTTAAGCATGCTCAATTCTCTCCTATCTTTAGAAAAGGTGAGTGGGTGGGGCAAACAATACGGTTACCAACTTTTTATTTTGCCAAGTAGGAGTTTTGAAAGTCCCAGCTGCCTTATATCACCATCATTTTTAAAAAGGACGCTTAACTTCAAACACAATAGAAAGGAGACAATTTTAGACTAAAAGATAAGCCAGTAAATTGTACAAATTTAGCTAATAAAAATCCCCCAACTTGTACTTTTTTTCCTCCGTTATCTGTAGACCAAAGGAAACCCAACACCCCACATAAGATCAGGGTCAGCTTGTCCATCTGCACAATCCTGGCAGTTGGGAATCAGGCCTCTCCTCCCCACTGGGGTGACTCACTCCCCCATGACAGCGGCCTGATTTGTTCCAGCACGTCAGTTTGCACACTGGTTACAGCTACCTCCTAGGGAGGCAGGGCTTCCATCCAGTCCCCCAGTGTCACTCAGGCTTCCTCAGAGTTTTCATGAATGTCCACACCCCAACTGCCCCTGAACCTGCTGAATAAACCTCCAGAAGAAGCCAATAGCACCTCACTGCAGAAACATCACAGACACTAGGAGAATATTCTTTTGTGAGAGGCACCAGCTAAAAAGACAACCTTCCCACAAAAGCGTCAACATTTCTGAAAGTATACCACAAGGGTACCATGTGCAGGAGAAATGGCCAGGATCCACACCCCAGAGGCCAGGATTCAAGCCAAAGGTCTGCTGTGCTGCCTTGGGGAAGCTATTCACCCTCTCTGGACCTTGCTTTTCACTTGGAAAATGTGTGTAATATAACCCATCTCGTGGTGTTACTGTGAAGATCAAAGGTAATATAATCCAAGAGGCTGAAATGGTGGCTGGCACACAGTAAGGGTTTTATTATAAGGATCCCTCCACCCTGGTGGGGAGTTTTAACCCTATGATCTGAAATGAGCAAACCTAGCGCAATCCGATGAGGCAGGTGTATTATACCCATTTTACAGACAAGAGTCTGAGGTCCTTGAAGGTGAGATGGCTTTCCCAGGATGTCTTAGCTGACAGTGGCAGTGCCATGCCTTACACCAAGGCATCCTGACTCCAAAGCTCTGGCCCTTTGTCCCGAATCTCCTGTAGAGCAGAAGAATCGAGGCCAGTCTGCCATCAGCACTGGAAATCCCGGTCTGAGCTCATGGGCTCTCAGGGTGGGATTCTAGAGTGGGGGTGGGCTGGGGAAGGGTCTGGATAATGACCACACAGGCAGAGGTGCTCTCTCTCTCTCCCTGCATCTCTCCCTCCCTCCCTCTCTCTCTTTCTCCTTCCCTTCTTCCCTCCCTCTCTGTCCTACATGCCATGATCCCTCTCCAGCATTTTAGAGCCATGGAGCCATCAGGGCCTTCAGTTGGCCTCTGATGCTGGTCTGTCACAGAGTGGCAGAGCCTCAGCAGCGGCCTGGCTCCAACACCTGGCAAGATGCATATAATTATGCTTCTGTGTCCTAAGCTATTTTCTAAGACGCCCAGTGAAACTGGACCTGAGAGACCTTTGCATGAGCAGACACACGCCCAGGGCATGGCCAGGCGAATTTCCGGTGGCATAGGCCCTCTCTCCCTCCTGCAGCCTTGGGGAACCTTTGCCTTCTTTGAGGGCAGGACAGAGGATGCATAACAAGAGACCGTCTGACTCAGGCCCCCAAAGCCTGATGGTCTGGGAAGGCCTGAGATGGAACTGCAGAGGCACCCAGACAGGGATGTGTGGAGTGGAGTGGGTGTGTCTGCAGGTTGCACCCCATTGAAGAGTGTTTGGCCTGGCCCCAAGATGTGGGACTCGGGGTTTACATGGCCATAAGAATGCAACGAGGCAAGCGTGGACGTCTTTTGCCATGGATTGCATGTGGATACGTTCCATAACAATACACTGACTGTCACAGGCCTGTTCGGCTGGCTCCCTGCCTGCACATAAGAACAAAGCTCCTGGATCATAGCTCCCCGGCCAGGGTCCTGTCTTGGCTTTGTCCTTGGCGTGCCATGAGTTTTGTGTATGTCCTGGCCTCTGTGGAGCTCACCCTGCTCATGGCTACGATGACGTGGGTGGGCTCGAGCTTGGAGGCTGCGTCCAGATTTGAAATTCTCTGGTTGAGGGTAGATTTGCAGCGCTGAGTGGGCCATTTGTTCCAGGCATGGCTGAGCCAGAAATGGCAGCTGCCAGCGAGATCTGCATGTGGTTCCAGACTTGTTTCTGTTGGAGAGAGTGGGTCTCTGAGAGCTGAGGTGGGGCTCACACTGCCCTGCCTTTACTACTGGCCGGCCCTAAGCTCACCAGTCCCAGAGGAGACCAGGATGGACGGATCTGGTCAACATTCATTCATTTGTTCATTCCTTCACTCATTCATCCTTTCACACACTCATGAAGCTCGAAACCTATTACGTGCTACTAAAGACACAGCGATGGGTAACTGGTGCCTGCCCTTCCAGGGCTCAAGGCGGTGGTGGGGACAGAGCCAGCATCATTCACCGGCCACACTGTGGGCAGCAGTGTGGATGTGGGAAAGGCATGAGGAGGCTGGAGCTGATGAAGGCTTGGACGGGGACAGTGGCAGTGGAGATGGACAGAGTAGGAGGGTGTGAGTCTTCTTGTTGGTCTGTCAATAGGACTGACCAGGGACCAGCTGGATTTCAGAGATGGGGAAGAAGTCAGAGTTGGGCACGATCCTGCAATGCTGGGCTGGTGCCTGAGTGGACATTTGTGTCCCCACGGACTTGGGTTTCAGGAAAGGAGGTCAGTGTCCAGGGATGCCCACATGGTTGTGATTTTCATCTCTAGGCTCTCCCGTTTCATTGCCCACAGGAAAGAGTGGGTGTTAGCTACCGCCACCCCTGGCGACTTTGGTCCTGGGCCCTGGGGCAGGTGGAACAGGGAGGTTTTGCTACTCCAGCGGGAAATGTGGAACACTGGCTCTTTACTGGTCTCCCTCAGTGGCGGGTTCACCGGCTGCTCTTCCTAGGCCCAGGGAGGAGCCTGGGGTCTGATGAGCTCAGACTGGCTCCCCAGCTGTGGTCAGCTGGGGATCATTCCAGAGCAGGATGCCCTGCCCAGATGCGCATGGAGGAAGGGCTAGGGAGGCAGCTGGGTGATGGGGAGCTGTGGTGTGCTAGGAGGACTTATTTCCCTGCACAGTCTCCAAAGCTCTCCTGACTCATGCCAGGTCCCCAGCAGGTATCCTGCAGCTCAGGAGTGGCCTTGCCCTCTCTATGTGGTTAGTCAAAGTCCCACTCCCCCAGAGCCCCCTACAGAATCCCCTGCATTCTCCAAAACCTGTATCTGAATAGCTCCTGGAATCACAGATGACCCAAATGAGTTCTGGCTCCTTCTGTTTAAATGAGTAAGCTGAGGATGCAAAAGGGGAAGGGACTTATACAGGTCACGCAACAGGCCACGGCACAGCTCCAAGGCGAGCCCAGAGCTCTTTCCGTCCAGCTGTAGGTATGGCCTTAAAGAGGCTGTCCCAGATGTTCTGCGTTTCTGAGGCAGCCCCATGTGCCTCTCCCAGACTGAGGGCTACAGAGGAAGGAAGACAAGCACAGACAGATGAGCCCTGGCTTTTGCCCTTAAAGTATATGGGGTTGAATGGCAGACAGCGGGGGGTAGGAGGAAGGCAGACCTCAAAGAGTGGACATGCCCCGTAACGAAATCGGACCCTTCCAGGTTTTACTGATTGCTTGACTTGATCCAGCTCAGCCCAGCTGGGGTGGGCAGTGTGTGGGAAACGGTCCAGGGAAGGGAGGGTGACAGGGCAGTGCCTGTGAATGCTCACCAGACCTGGGCTGAGCACGTCTGTCTCACTTAATTCTTACAAAACAAGGCGGTGAGTTCAGTCAACCCAAATTGTGGCAACACGAGCAAAAAAAACACATGTTTGTTACATTCTGGATCAAAAGCTGACTAATAAAGGAGGCAAATACAATATACTGGTCCCAATGTGGGCATCACCATCAGCAGCAGGGATAGCCCTAAAGGAAGAACGTTTGGGGGAAGAGGTAGAGAGAGACAGAAGGAGCCGGGAGGGATGTGAGCAAGCCCTGCTCCTGGACATCTGGACTTCCTTTAGCACGAACAGGTCAGCGCCCCCAGGGAAGCACCACGTTCGCGGTGCACATTGGGATGATAAAACTTGTATGAATTGTCTTGATGATGATCATGATAACGGTAGCCGCCATTGTGAGTTCTTACTGTATGTCAGGTTATTTAAATGTTATCACTGATCTCTACAACTGTTCTCCAAGGTAGATATTTTCAATCCATTAAATAGTTATTGCTATAAATCCTAAAAGAGGGACGTGAGCCTTTTGAGAAGGTACTGTGCCAAGGCCATGCAGCCTGGAGGGGGCTGGGCTGGGATCTGAAGCCAGGGCTGTGGGGTGTTGGAGCCCACCTTCTGCCCACAAGGTCAGCTGGTCCTCACAGTCTTGGCCCTGGCTCTGCTGGGGTCAGGGCGGGGGTGGGGCTCAAGGTGGGGCTGGGCCGTGGGAGCTGGTTCAGTTCTAGGCTCTCGACATGACCTCCTGAGTATGAAGGGGCCCCAGAAGTTGCTCTGCCTTTAGCAGGGGTCGCTCCTCTTGCCCATGGGGACTATTATGAAAGAACTCGACTAGTAGTGGGAGAACTGTTTTGGGTCCCAGATCTGCTGAGCACTGGCTTCTCCTGCTCCATTCTGGGTCCTACCTTTTCCCTTTATGAAGTAGAGGTCAGGAGAGGGTTTAGTAAGTCTTCAGCCCCTAAGGACTCTACATAATCCCTTTTCCACTCTGGCCCAAACCTGCTCCGAAGGCAAAGAAGCAGATCTTGTCCTCGTTCTCCTGCAGAAGTGCCATGACCCTCTTCCCCATCCGCTCGTTCCGCTTGTAGATCAGCTCCTGGCGGAAGTAGCTGTCAATCTCCTGGGCGGTCACCTGCTCGTGCGGTGGGAGGGTGGTGTTGATGAAGTTGGGCAGCTGTAAAGGCAAGACAGAGGCTGCCTTCAGTTCCTTCTGGAGCAAGGTGGGCTTCGTATAAACACACACAGCCCTGGCAAGGCAGGTAACTTACCTTCATTAAGCCCCTACAGGAGGCTATATGTTTTGTACATGTTTTTATCAATTCCAAAACCCTTTGAGATGAGTGTTGGTTGGTATTCTGGTTTTATAAATGAAGAAAGCAAGTGTGAAAAGGTCCAGAGACATGTGCCAAGTCACACAGCTAGCAAAGTGGCTGAGCCAGGATGCGAGCCCCAGACTGCCGCACTCCCACAGGTATCACTCCTGGGGCTCTGCCTCGCTGCACCTCAGCTTTCAGATGCCAAGGTCCTGGGAGGTGGGGCAGAGCTCAGCGGCTTCACTGCTCCCATTTCAGCAGCCTGGAACTGGCAAATACAAGGAATTTGGCTCAGCGAGCGGATGTGGGTGGTCAGCTGAGCTGCCTGGTGCAGCAGAAAGGCCATGGGGAATAGGCTCAGGCCCTGTTCTGGCATTGTGTGACTTTGGCCAAGTCACTTAACTTTTCTGAGCCTGTTTCCTTATTTGTAAAATCAGCTGACAATATTTGTTTTTCTGGGGAGTACATGAGGTGATAGATGCTGTCATGAGCTGTATTCAGCCCACTTCACACTAGAGATGAGAGGAGCGTCCTAACCTTTGGTTTTTCTAATGCCTGAGCCCTTGTTAGCCACCATCTGTTGCCACCACTATCTCCCCAACCCCAGTACTACCACTTCTCAGGACATAACCCAAACTCCTCCATCCACCTTAAATCTTCAACTTCAGGACCATGGTTTCCTCCCATAATGATGGCTTGTATAACAACCTGGCTTGGAACTATACAGATTTCTCAGCTGCAGTGTCCACCCCCAGCCCATGACCTGGGGGCCAGCGTCACTGACATGTTCTTGAACTAGGCAGACGGCTCCTTGAGTTCAGGGACAGAGCCTCTACCAATGCCTGGAACAGACTAGGTGTCCAGTAAGGCTTCTGGAATCTTGAACATAAAGTTGTGCTCTCCTTCCTCACCACACTGCCTCCTCCAGTGTGCTTCCATTCCCAGCATGCTGTCTTTCCAACCTGGATGGAAGATGTTCTTGTGCCATGGCCTCCAGCATGTGGGCGTGGCCTCAGAGGAAGCCATGGGCCATTGAGGAAACTGAGGCAGTGAGTCAGAATATGCCCTCTCAGGGCCGGCCGAGTGGCTCAGTTGGTGAAGAGCTCGCTCAAGAGTGTGAGCTCTGAGCAACAGGATCGCCGGTTCGATTCCCGGCCCGAGCTGAGCTGCTGCTGAGCTGCCAACAGGTGGCAGGATGGCTCAGCTAAAAGAAAAAGAATATGCCCTCTCTTTCCCCACCACCTGTCAATGTCATTCCAACCTCCAAGCTCTTGCTCACAGGATATCTTCCACCTGGTGTCCCTTCTTCCATTTCTCTTTGTTCACCAACCCAGGCACAGAGCACAGGATACCAGGCCTAGCTGACCGATGCACTAGCTAGAGTCTGGCATGAGCAGACCAATCTCCTGCAGGTTTTAGTCCTCAAAAGAGTCATGTGACCAAGGCACATAGCTTCTAGAGCCACTGATGAGTTGTCAATACTCTTTGTGAAGAAAATGAAGATGTCAATGGAGGCTGAACCCCGAGTGGCTTGGCGAAGGCTGGAATATCTGTCTGTCTCTAATATCTGCTGCCAAGGATGTTCCCCAGAGTGAAAGGGGAGGGGTTTCTTTGCCAGAAAGGCCGGATTTGCTGTTCTGGGCTGAACAAGACAATGATATGACTGGTGTATCCTAAATTTGAGCAGTGAGCAATCTGTATAGCTGTATGTAGCAGTTATGCAAGTGCCCAATAGGTCCAGCACAGAGTTGGTGCCCAGGGGTTGTTTGGCAAATGGATAAATGAAGAAATATAGTTCCTACTCTCTCCCCCAGCTGTGGAAGGGATGATCAGCAGCCCTGACAACATAGGCCCCACTTAGATTTGATGCGATTCTAGGAAAGGCCAACCTGCAGGCTCTGAATGGAGGGGGAACCCAGAGAGCTGTGACTCAGAAGGGTTATTTTTGGAAACATATTCCTCACAGGCTTCTCTTCCTTCCTTGAGCAGGGGAAAGAATGTGATACAATGTTGTACCAACAAATATATAGTTGTTCAATCAGTAAACGAATGGATGAATGAATGACTGAGAGGCAGTAGGGTTATGGTGGTGTGAATGTGGGTCCTGAAGTCAGGCAGCCAGGGCAACTTGGGCTGGAATTCCTCTTTTGGCCTGCTACCAGCGGGGTGGCCTCTATAACTAGCAAGTGACTTGGGCTCTCTGAGACTCGGTTTCCAAATTGGTAATATAGGGCTAATATATGCTGTTGTAAGGATTAAGTAAATCAGTTTTGGAAAGTGATTAGCACAGTGTGTGGCATAAAAGAAGTTTTGACTAAACGTCAGCTTTGTACAACTAGCCTGGGGAAAGGCGCTGGCTCTGTCACCTTTCACCTATGATGGCAGAGGCTACAGTAAAGGGTGGCCTTGGGCAGGAGGCACAGACGGAGATGACAAGGAGATGGCCTTCGGAACCATCAGAGAGCTATGAAGGCAGCGTTCTGCTCCCCTTCCCCTCTGTCAAGGCTGCAGGCAGAGGCCTTCTTCCCTTTTCTGCTTCCTGACCACGAGTGTGTATTTGTGGAAAGATGAATCTCTATTCCTTAGGGAGCTAAAAAAATTTAACAAGGATAAGAACCAGAAAGTTCAACATCAAAGCTGCAAAGGAGTTAGGCTAGACACTCGGGTTCCCTGGGCTGCCTAGTGGCTGGCTGACATTCTCTGCCTGTTTCATGCTGATGGGCCTTGGCTCCATGCCAAGGATGGGGCCTGGGTTGGGGCCTGGGTGGGGATGGGGGCAAATTAGTGATGTCATTAGACTTGTCGGCAGCCTTAAATCTCCTGTGACAAGTTTAAGTGCAGGACGCATGATAAGATTTTAAAGAGGACACATCAGGTCCCCAGAGCCCTGGAGTGATGGGTCTGAGATAGGGTGATGAGAGGAGAGGCCGGCAGAGCTAGGGTGGGGCCTAGTCACGGGGGATGACTGCAGTGAAGGCTCCCCTGACCCATAACCAGGACTGGGTGGGGTCCGGCGGTCAAGTGCTCAGTCTTCATGAGTAACTGACCTCAGTAGCCTCATCCCTTCTCTTTATCCCATCCATTCAACAGATACCTTCCAAGAACTTCCACAGGTCTGGCCTGTGTCAGGGTAGGGGGCTACAGAGAACCCTCAGACTGGGTCTGCTGCCCTGGATGAAACTCACAGCCCAGTGGAGAGTCAGACTTGCACATGAGAACACTATGGGATCCATGCTTTGAGAGGATGCCACAGGATTGGGGAGCTGGAGGAGGCATCTAACAGTACGACCACGCGTCTTGGTTTGTCCAGGACAGTCCAGGTTCATGGCTAGGATAGACTGCCCCATGCCTGTTAATTATTCTGACTCTTAATTATGTATGAGCTTTCACTCTCAAAAGTGTCTGAGTATGGACGATAAATATATGGCTACTCTACACGTAAGGCAGCCTGGGGGTTCAGACAAGGCTTCCCAGGGGAGGGATCGCCCTGTTGATTTAGGGGCATTGAGAGTGCTGGTGACTTGGGAGCCGTAGGAGGTCGGCCTCAGCCATTTCTGAAGGTGGGGAGGGGGCGGGGATGAGGGTGGGGATGCAAGGCAAACCAGGGGGAAGGTGCACTTGGCCTCTGTTCCCCGGTGTCACCCTGGGCCCTGCAGCGGTCCCACCCCGGCCTCCAGAGGCCTCCTCCTCATCCTCCGCACTGCAGCCACAGGCATCTTTCTGGCCACGATGCTCCCAGGCGTGAACATTCCAGGGCTTCCTCCCCTCAGCGGACATTCTCACCCCTGCGTGATTTGCCCTCTGCTCTGCAGATCATTCCTCAGGACCTCCCACTTGCCTGCGCCCCCACCAGGCAGCTTGCTCGGCCGGCCAGGCCCTCCCTTTGTCCCCACCCAGTGGATTCCACTCCTCAGCCTAGCTCCAGTACCACTTTCTCCCGGAAGCCTCCCCTGACTGCAGGCAGTGACTCTACCCTTACAGCTCCTGTGTCCTCAATGCTAGGCTTTTCTGTGTCTGAGGTCAGGGCTGCCTCGCCCCTCTCTTGAGGGATAGACTCTGCCTGTGCACCGCTGGGTACAGCCTGGGTTGCTATCCTAATCCAGCTGGACCAAGCCACCTGTACCCTCTGTCCCATTTCAAGTACGGGCACTGCGAGGAGACCCGGGATGCAGCTCACCTGCCAGAGACAAATCAGTGGTTTGGACATAGCCTCAAAGAAAATCTGAGCTTGCAATCCCTTGAGGTCACCCCATTCCTCCCTCTCTCAGCTTAGTGTCAGCCACAGCCTGGCCAGGGCCCTGTCCTTCCACACCATGGCCAGGCCATCTGAAGTGGCGCTCAGGTCCCCTCTGCCACAGAGCCCCCTGGCTGGCTGCTCAGGGCTCGCCAGCCTCTTCCCAACAGGTGACACAGGGCGGGGCTCTGTCAAAAGTGAATGGCTGGTGAAACACCTACGAGCCTTGCGGTGTCAGAGTTCTTCTCTCCTCCCGCCCTCCTCCACCATCGAGAGTCGGAGCTCTCAGAATCCTGAGCCTCCTGTGACCGGGTCTCCAGATCTTTCCTCTTTCACTCTCTACATTGAGCACACAGGCACCCACATTGGCTCATGCGACAGTTGCTCCCTGATATGTATGCTCTGTGCCAGGCCCTGTACTGGCACTGGGACTGAGACGAGCACCACAGCCTTGCCCTCAAAGAGCTCCGGGTCTAGTGGAGCGTCGCACAGACAGAACGTCACAGCTTGATGATGTTGGCTGTGCCTCCAGCCCAAACTCTTGTCCCCCTTCCGCTCCTCCTCCACACCCCCCACCCCTTTCCTCCTCCTCCTCCTCCTCTTGACCTGCCTCTGGCTTGTTTGCGTACAGTTTCCTCTGCTAGAACATACTTCCTTCTTGCCTGTGGTCAATTCTGGTTCTTCTCTGACTTCCCGTCTTGCTTCCCCCTAACCTACCCCATGCCCCTAAGCCCATCTAAATTCCCGTTCCTGCCACAGGCTCCAACGGGATCCTCGAGTCTCCCTCACAGCAAGAATCACACGTGGTGCGATTGCTGGTTGAATCTCATCTCTCCTCGGAGCCTGTCAGAGACCCATGAGGGCAGCTCTCAGGCTCCCCCACCCCCCTTTTCATAACACGGTGTCTGTCCTGCTCTATGGCCCGCTTGGCTCTAGCTAGTTGGGATATATCGATGAATAAAACAGACTCAGGTTGCCCTCAGGGAGCTTCTGCTCTACTAGGGAAGGACAGACAACAAATAATAACTAACCAATGAATCAAGATATACCGTATTTCCCCATGTATAAGATGCACCCTTTTTCGAAAAATTTGGGGTCTAAAAACTGGGTGCATCTTATACAGTGGTTGTAGATGTCTTTACTTGCATTTCCTGCAAGTGATGAGGAGTTGTATGAATTTTATGATGAATAAAACTTGAGTTCAATAACTTTATGTAATACGTTATTTTCAAATTTCGGGCCCCAAAATTAAGGTGCATCTTATACATGGGAGTGTCTTATACCTGGGGAAATATGGTATGTGTTCGAGAAAATGATAAAGGTCGTGGGGAAAGAGCAGAGAGTGAGAAACGGGACGAGAGCGTGGGAGTGGGGGCAGGCTGTAATTCCAGGTCGGTTAGTTGGGACGTGCCTCATTGAGATGATATTTGAATTAACTCTTGAGAGCAAAGCAGGGGTGAGCCCTGGTGACAGCTGGGGAAGGGCATTCCTGGCAGAGGAAACAGCCAGTGCCAAGGCGAAGTGTGCCAGGTGTGCTCATAAACAGCAATGAAGCCCGTGCCGTCGGAGCGGCGTGTGTGAAGGGAGGGCAGAGGACATGGAGGTGGGGGGACCACGGGGCCACGCAGGCCATTGTAGAGACTCTGGAGTGTCCCCTGAGAAAAATGGGGAGCCATTACAGTGTCCTGAGTAGGGAAGTGGCCTGTTCTGACTAATTCAACTGCTTCTTGCATGAATGGAGATTCAAATGCCATGACGCAGGAAGTACAGCAGGCCTAAAGGTACCCAGGAGAATACCTAACTCCATCCAAGGGGTCAGGGAAGGTTTCACAGAGGAGGTGGCATTGACCATAGCCAAGTGGGAGGACACGGCGGGGAGAAGCCTGGACAAAGACAGAGCAGCCTGAAAGGACAAACTGCATGGGGGAAGAGCTGCCTATGGCACAGGTCAGCATAACAAGCTCTGTGGTGGCGGACCTGGGCTGTGACAAGGTCAGCGGAGGGCAGGACATGGAGGGCCTCGAATGCTGGTCAAAGTACCTTGGAATTTAACCTAAAGGCAATGGGGAGGCATGGTGGAGCCGTGCTCAGCTCCTCGGGGTGCCACCCACTGTCTGCCCAGCCTGGTGGTAATTTTCCTCTAGGCCTCGAATCAAGACAGAACGCTCTGGGCTGGACTCAAGCTCGAGCACTGAATGACTGTGGGCTTCCCCTCCCTGAGATTTAATTTCCCCAGATGCTACACTGAGCCTCCCGGAGGCCTCCCTGTTCTTCCAGGCTAAGCTAAGCGTCTAGGGTTTACACACACCAGGCTCAAGTGTTTCTCTTGATCACTTGATAAGCCAACAACTAATGAGTGGTGTGGCCTTAGGCAAGTCTCTTTCCCTCTCTGAGCCTCAGTTTCCCCATGGGAAAAATGGGGATCCCAATAGCTCCTGCTTACTATGGCTGAAGAGAAGACTGCCTGCACCTGGCTCACAGTCATTATCTAAATAATAAATGCCAGGTGGGTTCACGTGGGCCGGGCCTTGGGAGCTGGCCACCCAGAGGCTCTCTGGGCCGGAGGAGCGGATCCTCACCTGGGACGTGTCATGGTTGAAGATGACAGCATTGAGATCCCCGCAGTTGTAGTGCTTGATGAGGTCCTCTGTGGTGTAGGGCGCCTGCAGGCTCCCAGCCCGCACACTCTCGTGCTGCAGCAGCGTCTGGTTCAGGGCGAACAACACCTGGGCAGAGGAAAGAGAGGTAAATAAGGGCCATGCTCAGGGACCCGGCTGAAGTCTCTGACACCTCCAGGACCAGCACTGCTCCCTCTGGACTGTGGGGCCATAGGCTCTGAAACAGAGAAGGTGTATGGGGCCGGCACCAGCTGGCGCAGTCTGAATATTTCCATGCTTCTTGCTGCTTACTTCCTGGCCTCTGAACACAGGCAGCCCGTTCTCATCTCCAGTCCTCTGCCTGCCCAGGTCTCCACTCCTGCTCTGGGTGTCAACATTTTATCTAATGACATGGCAAAATGAGAACCCCACTGTGGGCTTTGGAATGAGGGGTGACTCATTTGGACTTAGTAAATTTCTAGAATGAGCGCAGACTTATTTTGTAATCAAGAGCACCTCAAAACAAAGCAAAACAAACAAATGAAAAAACAAACAGGAAGCCCACTTAGATGTCAAGGCCTAACCCAAATGCCACGTGCTCCAGAAGCCATCCTCACACCAGGCCAAGGCCTAGGAACTAGGCCCCTCCGAATCAGACCCAGGCTGACATTCAGCATGTGTTCCTCAAGCCCCTCTGTGTTCTGGGCCACCATGCTGGGTCTGGGGACACAGCTGTGCTCCAGGCAGACCTGCCAGGCATGGAGATCACTTGGAATGTTATACAGAATTTCAGATGCCCAGGCCCCAACCCCAGGATCAGAATCTCTGAGGTGGAGCTCAGGATGTGTATTTTTAAGAGGCTCCCTGGGAACTGCTCTAGGGCCCGAGTGCTTCTGGCGTTTGTAGACCATGGCTCTAATGGAAAATGGCCTGCCCGAGGTACAAGGGCCCTGACAGATTATCTAAAATGTCCCATTTAGATGGTGAAATTGAGGCCCAGGGGGGGAAGGGACTTGCTGCATTTGGGGCACGCCAGCGCACGGCAGGAGTTCCTACCAAGTGGCATCAGCCACATGGTTCTGGAACATGTAATATGAACAGAAAAGCTCACGCAATAGGTACACCCAATCTGGCCAAAATACCGTCATGGGCAATGGGGCCAAGCTTATGCCTGTGAGGTCACCTCTACCCATCTCCTCCTACTGCTGTTTCCAGCGGGCAGGAGAGATGGATTGCGCTGGGATGCAGCAGCCCACACTGCTCCCTCTAATGAGCTGGCTGGAGATGAGGTCAGACCCCGCCATCCCACATTCTGGGCCTTCCCCAGGCTCTGGCCATCACCTCTGAAATCCGATCTGCAGCCACCTGGTGCGGGGTGTTGATGGCAGCATGGTGGCTGGGGATGGATCACAGGAGGCAGTGGCCCTGTTGCTGAGGACATTGCTAAGGCAACAGGCACTTTCTCCCACGTGGCACATGCCTTGGATGAAAGCATCTGTGTCAAGCTGTTCTCCTCCTCTGGAGGCTGGGACACATAGGCTTTCTGTAACCGCACTCTGCTGCTGCACACACCTGCCCTGAAGCTTCTCAGAGTTGGTGGGGCCAAGCACCATCTAACCTGTGGTGAGGTCATCTGCTCAGGCATCCAGAAGACCTGCCTGGAGGGGAAATGGCTTCCCTGGACCTTCCTAGCTACACAAAATCACTTCCTCAGTTATGTGCCCCTCATGGAGCTGGGAGGTATTCTAGCGAATTAAGCACATTACAATCTGTAGGGTGCTAAGAACAGTTCTGGCATGTAGAAAGTGTTGGATAAATGCTTGCTAAATAACACTTGTAAGAAAAGAGTTAGGCCTAAACCTTTCTAGATTGGAGCTGGAAGGGCCCATGGAAGTCATCTGGTCCAGTGGTTTTTCAAACCATTTTTAGCTATGGAATCCTTATTTGTTATTATTGTTTTCCAGAGGAACCTTACTTAGAATTCAAAACGTGCAGCAGATGAAAATAGAAACTTCCCTGGCTGACATAAGGGAGGCAGGCTGGAACCTGAAGTCCCGCTGACTCAAGACCCTCCTGTAACAGGGATTCCTAAATCTTCTCCATGGAACCCATAGGTACCCTGGAGCCCAGTTTGAGAACCACTAATCTCAGCCTGAGCCCTCATCATATAGAAGAGAAGAGGAGACAGAGCCCAAGAATAGGCAGAAAGGGGCTCACACCAGGTCACATAGTGAGCTGGGGGCAGAACGGGCTCATATCCAAGTCTCTTGACACCCAACCCGGGACGCGCTGCAGTGCTCTGGACCACTGGGGCTGGGTTTCCGGATGCCCAGTGGCACAATCCACATTCATCTTCCACACACTGCCATACCCATTTTCCTTCTGGAGCCTGTGAAACAGCCAGAAATGACCAGGGAGTATTTACTATTAGTTCGTTGAGGCCAGATCATTGAAGGGGCGTCTATAGCGTGGCACAGTGGAGTGTGGTGGGCTGTGGCTGAAACCCAGGCCTGTCATCCTGGACTCCCCTGGTCCCTGGTGGGGTTTGGTGCCTCCCGCAGGCCCCTGTGCTTCCCTTAGTCTTGGCACTTACCTAATGAAGTGTCCGTTTCAGATAATTTGCTGTTCCCTGACTGTCTAGACCGAGAGCTCGGTGAGGGCAGGAAGCCTGCCTCTCTGTTCACTGTTGAACCACAGGCATTCAGAAACTGCTTCAGAAGGAAGGAGGCTGACACTGAGTCACAGGCCCTTTCCCCCACACCTCACACCTCGTATCCATCCTTTGCAATTTATGAGGCAGTCCTCATCCATTCACTGCTAGGATCACTATGTTTATTGAGCACTTACTATGTCTTGGGAACCCTTTAAGCTCATATTAATTTATTTAATTTTTACAACAACGCTGAGGCGGGTCTAGTATTAGTCCTATTTAATAAATTAAAAAAAACACACACAACTGAAGCAAAGAGACATTAAGTAACTCGCCCAAAGTGGCAAAGCTAGAGAGGGATGGGGCATGCACTTGGGCCTGGGCAATCCAGCCATGGATCTGTCCCCTTGATTTAACATTGCCCGCTGAGGCCTCCCTCTGCTCTCTCTGGGAGATGGCCAGCAGGGATGGTGTCCCTATTATAGATGGGAAACCAAAGAAACAGAAGGGAAGGACGGGCCTAAGTCAGGGCTTATAGAAGACAGAGCTGGGTTTAAAATCATGTCTATCTGGCTCTAGACAAAGTCCCCACAACCAGGACTTCAAAGTAAAATGTGCTCCTCCATGCATTCTTGGTGCTTCCATCAGACATAGGGAAGCTACACTCATTTATTCATTCAACAAACATTTACCTTCTGTTGATTCTCTGCAGGGATCCGGGGCTGGTATATTAATTGGGCTTGGTTTCTACCCACATGGAGCTCATTTTAGGGGCAGAATTGCCAATTGGCCATGACAGTAGAGGGTGGTAAGTCGGGCTGCTAAGCCCTGTGCAGAAGCGACTTGCCCTGTTTGCTGCCTCCCTCCCACTCACCCTGAATTCCCAAGCTTGCGTTGCTCATGGACGCTCAGGCCTCGATGCCTTCTGCTCCCAGCCACTTTAGGATAACAAACCCTCCTTGCCTGTAGCCTCGGTGGCCCGCTCTAGGATAATGTTTATGATAAGGCTTTGACATGGAATAACAAACACCAGGTGAAGGCTAGAGCCGCCTCGCTCCCCCTGGATGGCCGTGTGTGGAGACCGGGCTACCAAAAGGCCCTGAGCGTCCCGGTGCCCCCCCCCCCCCCCCCCCCCCCCCCCCCCGCCCGCCTCACCAGTGCTCCCTGGCCAGGAGCTGGCCCGCGGCGTCTGCTGTGTGTAGGCCCAGAATTTAAACACATCTTCAAACATGGGCCTAGGATGGAATGAGGCAGGCGCCAGGAGGGTGGGGACGGGTTTATTGTTCCAGATTAGTCTAGTAAACAGTCCTAAGCGGGCAGGAATGGCGAACACTGAGGCTTTGTGTTCACCTGACAGCTCCGCAATGTCATTGCATTGTGAGAGGAAGGCAGCAGGGTCTGCTTTGTCATGAACGATGTGGGGACCGTGGGCTCCTTTGGATAGTCCTGGCTCTGAGGCTGGGACTCTGATGTGAGCAATGAAGCAGTTCTCCCAGAGAAATCACAGCAAAGGCCCCCAACCCACTCAGGGATGCTTACTGAGCACCTGCCATGTTCCAGGCCCTGCTCTAGATGCTGGGGATTTGCTCAGGGACAAAACAGACCCAAATCCTGCTCTCATTGAGCTTACCTGCTAGGGGGAAAAACAAAGAATCAGTAAAATGATTAGTCAAATGTTAACATTTAGAATGTTGCAGACACAACAATGATTCTATTGAACTGAGGTTATTGAACTGGCCACTTTGGGCTCCTCGTGCCTCTGTATGAACAGTCAAAGAAGGGACTTACTGTGCTAGATGGATGACTGGTCCTGATTACCAAGGATAATTGGTTTGCTACTCCACAACAGAGGTAAGGAAGAGTAAGTCTGGAGTACAGCGGATCCCTTAGGGCATCTCTTAATATTACCGCACCCTGTGCTTAACTAACATCAATGGAAAGCTACAACAACCCAATCCAGACAGGACTACTAATGGCCCAGAACCTTTGGGAATGAAAGTTTTGTTCTTTACCCTGCCAGATAAAGAACCACAATTGGCCGAGGTGATGGCAATGGGAATATGGTAGTGGCAGTGGTAATGGAAGAAGGTCATTATACATACCAGCTACAACCATGTGATCAGTTACAGAAACAAGGACTCTTGTTATTCTTCCTTATTTTGTTAAGTGTGTGTGTGTGTGTGTGTGCAAAATCTTTGTTTTCTATTATCTCTTCTTTTTCTTCTTCCCCACCATGTAACATAAGATACATTGACATTATATCATAGTATTTAAGTATTGTTAACTTTACATCATATATTTAAGTTATAGGGTATCGAGGAGAAGAGTAAACCTCACACAAGGAGTTTGCATCCTCTTCTGGGGAAGGCATTCGTGTGTTTGGTTGTACACAGGATCTTTATATCATGTTAGGCAGAGTTATAACCTTGTTATTCTCTTTATTTGGAGAGTAAGTATGGTTTAAGGAGATGCGTATGGG